AAGGTGATAAGGTAAGACTCTTGAAAGAAAAATCCCTGAACTTCAAGAAGGCCATTCCAATGTGCACTAGGAGTGAAATCGCTTCGCTGCAAATCAAGACGATAGCAGGCGCTGGAGACAACAAGTCAGAAGATGTAAAGAAGTTCAGCGATAAAAAAATCCGCTACGGAAGTCGTAGTAAGAAGAGAGATAAAGGAAGATCGTCAAATTCGCCGAAGGAATCTGAAAAAAAGAAATCGGAAGGATTTTCCAAACCGACCTGTAAGTATTGTGGTCGTGAACAACGTCATGAAAGAAGAACACAGTCTCCCACGTTCAATAAAACGTGCAACAAGTATCAAAAAATAGGCCATTTTGCGTCTGTTTGCCGATCATCAAAGAAGGTACAACAATTCGAAGAAGACGAGGACGACAGTTTGGATGAAAGCTGTTTGCAAGTGGAACCTGTCTCTAGTCCAGACTAAAGCAAAACAGTGGCTTGCAGATATAGAATTCTGCAAATCAGCTAAAGAAGACTACAACCTTGGCATGTCAATTAGACACTGGAGCTACATGTAATGTTATGAGCTGGGACGACCTCTCAGCTATCACACAGTTAGGAGATCCACCCATGAACACCTCCTCAGTTAAGCTGAAGCTCTTTTGGCGGTACAACTTTAAAGACAGTTGGTTAGTGCGACTTACAAGTCAGATACCATGGCAGACGACAGATTCTGAAGTTTCAAGTAATAAAATACAAGAGTAAGCCCTTGCTATCAGCTGAAACCTGTGAGAAGTTGCAATTCATTCCCCTAAATGTCAGCGTTCCCGAGAATGTACGTCAGATAAGTGAGACCCCACCACAAAAATCTCTGTCAAAGGAAGAACTGTTGACCACGTATCATGAAGTATGCACCGGACTAGGACATATTGGATATGCAAAGATTGTGGTTGACCCGAATTTTAAACCAGTGCAACATTCCCCTCGTTGCGTGCCAGTTGCACTACAAAAAGAAGTTAAGAACAAGATTCTAGAACTGGAGGAGAAAGGCATTATCAAGAAAGCGGTAGAACCGTCAGAGTGGATCAGCAGTATGTTAATAGTTGCCAAACCTCAGAAGATTCAAATCTCTCTGGACCCAAAAGACCTGAACCGTGCCATACAACGCCCCAAATTTCAAATGCCAACGTTGGAAGAGCTGTTACCAGACCTCAACAAAGCCAGAATCTTTAGCTCATTCGATGCAAAAGATGGATTCTATCAAGTTGGCCTTGACCAAGAGAGCAGCACGTGCAAAGCGAAGAAACCATTCAAAGTTATGTCACACGTTTAAGAAAATTAGCCGCGACCTGTGAATACGGTGCACTTACAGACCAACTTATAAGGGACAGGCTCGTCATTGGCTTAAAGAATCAAGGTGATAAGGTAAGACTCTTGAGAGAAAAATCCTTGAACTTGAAGAAAGCCATTCCAATGTGCACTACGAGTGAATTCGCTTCGCTGCAAATCAAGACGATAGAAGGCGCTGGAGACAACAAGTAAGAAGATGTAAAGAAGTTCAGCGACAAAAAAATCCGCTACGGAAGTCGTAGTAAGAGAGATGAAGGAAGATCGTCAAATTCAGCGAAGGTATCTGAAAAAAAGAAATCGGAAGGATTTTCCAAACCGACCTGTAAGTATTGTGGTCGTGAACAACGTCATGAAAGAGGAACAGAGTGTCCCACGTTCAACAAAACGTGCAGCAAGTATCAAAAAATACGCCATTTTACGTCTGTTTGCCGATCATCAAAGAAGGTACAACATTTCGAAGAAGACGAGGACGACAGTTTGGATGAAAGCTGTTTGCAAGTGGAAACTGTCTCTAGTCCAGACTAAAGCAAAACAGTGGCTTGCAGATATAGAATTCTGCAAATCAGCTAAAGAAGACTACATTTACTGCAAGACTACAACCTTGGCATGTCAATTACACACTGGAGCTACATGTAATGTAATGAGCTGGGATGACCTCTCAGCTATTACACAGTTAGGAGACCCACCCATGAACACCTCCTCAGTTAAGCTGAAGCTCTTTTGGCGGTACAACTTTAAAGCCCGTTGGTGAGTGCGACTTACATGTCAGATACCATGGCAGACGACAGATTCTGAAGTTTCAAGTAATAAAATACAAGTGTAAGCCCTTGCTATCAGCTGAAACCTGTGAAAAGTTGCAACTCATTCTCCTAAATGTCAGCGTTCCCGAGAATGTACGTCAGATGAGTGAGACCCCACCACAAAAATCTCTGTCAAAGGAAGAACTGTTGACCACGTATCATGAAGTATTCACCAGATTAGGCCATATTGGAGATGCGAAGATTATGGTTGACCCGAATTTTAAACCAGTGCAACATTCCCCTCGTTGCGTGCCAGTTGCACTACAAAAAGAAGTTAAGAACAAGATTCTAGAGTTGGAGGAGAAAGGCATTATCAAGAAAGCGGTAGAACCCTCAGAGTGGATCAGCAGTATGTTAATAGTTGCCAAACCTCAGAAGATTCGAATCTGTCTGCACCCAAAAGACCTGAACCGTGCCATACAATGCCCCAAATTTGAAATGCCAACGTTGGAAGAGCTGTTACCAGACCTCAACAAAGCCAGAATCTTTAGCTCATTCGATGCAAAAGATGGATTCTATCAAGTTGGCCTTGACCAAGAGAGCAGTAGACTAACCACTTTCTGGACACCCCTAGGAGGATACCGTTACTTAAGAATGCCATTTGGTATAAATCTAGCCCCAGAAGTCTTTGAAAGCAGACTACAAGAATGTCTCGCCAACCTACCTGGTGTGAAAGTCATCAGAGACAATATTCTTGTTGTTGGCTATGGTGAAAACCACTCAGAAGCCCTTCTTAATAATGATCAGAATGTGGTCCGCCTACTTGAAAGAGCCAAACAAGTACATCTGAAACTCAACAAGAACAAAGTTAAGCTTCGACAGGCAGAAGTTAAATTCATGGGTCGTGTGATTTCAAGGGATGGACTGAAACCAGATGGGTGCTTACTCAACACCCGGTCCTTAAATTCTACAGCATAGAAGAAGAGGTAACTATTCAGACGGATGCCAGTATTAAAGGCCTTGGCGCAGTCCTTCTTCAAAATGGACAGCCAGTCGCCTTCGCGTTCAGAACTCTCTCACCAATAGAACAAAGCTATACAACCATAGAGAAAGAATGTCTAGGAATAGTCTTCGCTTGTGAAAGATTCAATCAACACCAAGCACGCAGAGAGCAGATTTCAGTCGAAACTGACCACAAGCCTCTTGAGTCAATATTCAAGAAGTCTCTATTATCAGCTCCATGCCACCTTCAAAGAATGCTTCTCAGGCTACAACGATTCAACTTGACCGTTAAGTACAAGCCTGGATCCCAAATGCTCTTAGCCGACCATTTGTCTAGAGCCGCACAACATGAAACTTCTGAGCCAGAAGAATCTTTTCAAGTATTTTTCTTAGAGCTGGAGAGCCTTGACCCTATGCAAACCCTGAAGGTCATGCCAGAACGATTGAATCAATTGCAAAGTAGCACAAGTCATGATGATACTCTGCAGACACTAAAAACCACAATTCTGACCGGATGGCCAATGCAGAAAGATCAGGTACCAATCCAGATACGGGAGTATTGGTCATACGCCGATGAGCTATCAGTTCACTATGGTGTTCATTTCAAAGGCTCAAGAGTAGTCATCCCTATGTTACTGAAACCTGAAGTCAAATCCAGAATTCATTCCAGCCATTTAGGAGTAGAAGTTTCCCTGCGCAAAGCTAGAGACGCTGTATTCTGGCCTGGTATGAATGCAGAGGTGAATGACCTAATCAAACAATGTTCAATTTGCAACGAATTTCAAGTCAAGAATCAGAAGCTTCCAATGCAGAGCCATGAGCTTCCTGACCGCCCGTGGGGTCGAGTAGCCGTTGACCAGTTCAAACTTCATGGCAAAAAATACATAGTGCTCGTTGACTACTACTCAGATTTCCTAGAAGTACAGAGATTGGAGGAAAACACTTCTGGTTCCGTGATTGAATTTTTTAAGGAACAATTCAGCTGACATGGCATTCCAGATACACTAACTACTGACAACGCTCCTCAGTTTACAAGCCACGAGTTCGGTAAGTTTTCAGTTGGTTGGGAGTTCACTCACGTGTCCTCTTCACCACATCATCACAAATCCAACGGAAAGGCAGAGTCTGCTGTGAAAATTGTCAAGTCTTTGTTCAGAAAAGCTCTCAAAGACAACAAAGACCCGTGGTTAGCCCTATTGGACCAACGCAACACACCAACAGAGTTCAAGGAAACTAGCCCTGCACAGAGATTGATGTCTAGACGAACTAGAACCTTACTACCTACAGCTTCTAACTTACTGTTCCCTAAGATTCCAGAAAATGTGAATGCAAAGCTAAAGTTGAAAAGGCAAAAGGCCAATTGGTACCATGATTGCATATCACGCTCCCTACCAGAATTACATGTTGGGTAAGAGGTAAGAGTGGCACCAAGAATCAAAGCTGGAAATCAGGTACCTGCACCAAGAAGCTATCAGACAGGTCCTATGAAGTAAAAACTAGTTCAGACAACCAAGTATTCCGTCGAAATCGGGAATTACTGAAGCCAGCTACACGACCAGCTGAACAACCCAAACCAGTTGAGAGCAGTGATAGCCAGCTTGCAAAGAGCGTAAACTAGCCTTCAAAGCAAGATGTCAAGTCAGCTAATCGTGACCCGAAACCAACAATGCCATCACAAACTGTTCCTTTGAAGAAATCGCGTACCCGAGTTGTAAAGCCATCCTTGAGGTTCAATGACTTTGTTGCGTAGTTTATCATATGAAACTAGACTACAGCTCAAGAGAACTCGAAGTGTCTATATTAGAAAAACTGACTACCGGGCAACAACTTTAATAAGGACTCCTGACTTAAAGTCCTGTACCAAGTTCCATTTGTTCTGTTTTGTTTTGTTTCTAATTTTTATTTTAGTTAACTCTTTTTCGACCTGGACAGTCACGTTTGATTTATGTTTATAGAGTTTTCGTTCGGAAGTTAGCTTACTCCAAAAGAAGGGAGATGTTACGATATGTTACGTCACTTGTCATTTTACGTATATTCCTTATTTGGTCATAAATAAATCAGTTGAGATTTACAGAGTTTGCAGCGTGCATACTTTGACATAAACACCTGAAATGAAAGTCTATGTTTGGGATTATAATTGTGTTCAGATCTTTCACATCACAGACTAGACAAACAACAAATAAGTTTTCTCATGAATGGCAGACCTCTTCTTTAAAACTGAATGACGTTCTAGGACATTTGTGGCATCTATGGTTTTTTGAGATTCATAGAAATGGGAATTAGATAGAATCCTCTTTCTTACCAGCCTCTTTTGTTTTCTCAAAAATAGCTGTACTTTTTGGTCCATTCCCAACAGAAGTGAAGGCCAATATTTGAAATTCATATTCTGTGAACTTATCAAGCCCAGTGACATCTTGAGTG